GTAGGTTTGGATTTTTTTTTCCCCCTTAATAATAAAAACCTTCATTTTAAAAACTGCATTTTGTGTTTACTTGTGTTATCTTTGTCTAATATTTAAATTTGTTTGATGATCTGAAACATTTAAGTGTGACAAACATGCAAAAAAATAAGAAATCAGGAAGGGGGCAAACACTTTTTCACACAACTGTGTATAGTATTTGTAAAAGCGTGCTTCTGGGACTAGCTCGATCTATCAAATAACATAACGTGGTATGTAGCAATGTTATTTGATCTTTCCTCCCTCTCGCTGAAAGGGCAATATCTCCACATCCTGTTATATCAGCCCTTGTGTTAGTTCCACTAAATCAACTGTAGAGCTTATTTGCCGGAATTGTTGGTGAATTTTCTCATTACACGAGTCAAATCTCTCAGAAATTGCAGTTAAGATGCAGTTTGAAGACTAACGGGGCTGCCTGCTACATAAAAGTGATAGATGCTTCATGTGCAATGTACCCACGAGGCAACATTTATATAACGTCTCTTAAAGTTCTGTTACAGGGTGAAGATCAATTTTGAAGGGTTTTTCACTTTATTTTCTTGTCTTCACCTGCAGTTGTAGCATTTTGGTTGGCAAACAATATAAATATATATAAAGTTGCAGCTCATCACCGTCGTACACCGTGGCAGTGGAAAAGGATCACATTAGTTCCCCAATCGTCCTTTGATTATTTATTTTGATTGTGTAATGCTTGAATTTACTGAGCAGAATAACAAACTATTGTACGGGGCAGATATTTCTACGATCAATTAATCCGTCTATTGTTTTTTTTTCAATTAATTGTCATCACAATTACTGAACCCCCGTGGCGACGTCTTCAAATTCCCAGTTTAAGATTTTTCAATTTGAAACAAGAAAAACGGCAAATCCTTCCAAATATTTGACGTTTCTATTGTTGAATGAAATTACAAAGGCGGCGCTCAAGATAAGGACAGAATACTGCATTCCAAACAGTGAGCGTTGGCAGCATTCAGCTCGTTTCCTCTCAGCGCACACAGCACATCTTGTGTGCCTATTCAAACAAACATTTCAATTTGGCTTTCGGAAAAGCACAAAATAACTTTTTCTCAGCGCACACGTCCAATGTGATTCACAGCACCTGCCTTCCGGTACAAATGTCCGCATCCACAGTCGTGTTTATTAGCTTAGCTTAATTGTGCATAGTATTTAAAGGTCACTGCCTGCTGTGATACATCGCTGCCAAAAACGGCTTCCTGGGGACACCGTTTCAGATGAATACACACTGAAAGCTGCACCAGCTTCCACCCTTCCGTCCCTGTCCTCTACCTCCCAACGCGCAGTACATTCGGCTGTTACAGGCCGTGCACAAGGTCCTGTGACTGAGGGGCGTCGCCTCACCGACTTCCATTTCAGCTGGCAAAAGGGAGCAGATTAATTTGCTTGTCAAATTTCTCTCTTTTTTTTTTTTTCTTCTCTGTAGGAGTTTATTCAGATCGGACGAATGATGTGTTTGTCCTCCAGTGAATTAAAGCATATAGCTGTATAAGTACAACCTACCCGGTGATTAATAGTATTTGACTTCTATAAGCAGTAAACCTCCTCTGTTCAGCTGTAAAAACTGATTTAATGAGAGAGTGACTCGAATAGATAAGCAGATATGGCAGCGGGGATTATTGGGAGGTGGGCTGAATGGGGGAGATGGATGATATGCAGTTTATCAGTTATACAATGCACTTTTTATAAGACCGTACCTGTGGGGCTAGCAGCCACTCAGCAATAGATGTGAGAATGCGAGCTCGTGTGCATTTTAAGATATGTGTCAGAAAGTATACATGCTTTTGAGGAGACGTGTGCGCTTAAGGTGCAGGTTGCGTATTGGGTTGTATAAAGAATTTACAAGAGAAAGAGGCTGACATGTTGAGTGCCTGTAAAGCAACAGAGGCTCTGTTTGATTTGTATACTGTGTGTGCACATTGATTCTGTTTGTGTGCTATTTTAACATCTGCTCAGTTACAGTATTTATTAAAAGCATATTTAAAAAAGAAATGACTCTTTCCCTCTCGCCCTCCAGGCTTTGTTGGGAGGAGGCTATCAGATGGATGTCACCAAGTTTCAGCACACCCTCTGGGACGTCCTGACAAAAGGAGACAGTGTCAAGGTGAGCGCCATCATTCCTCATTCTCCTTCAGGCTGACTTACATTCTTCATTTACTCCGCCATTTCATTATTCCATATGTTAGTTCCCAGTTGCACTCATCCTCGTAAAACGGGTGTTGGTGTGGAACCCTGGTGACGTTCGGTGGTGGCTTCTTGTGGGTCTCGTGAATGTGGGAACATAATTCTTCAACACTGTGCAGGTTCATGAGGCATAATTCCAAAATAGTTTCAAGACAGCTTGTAGTTGGTGTTCTAAAATGCATTACTTCGCTTTAATTGACTGTGTAAGTCATTGATCCCTTCCTCCATCCACCTTTAGCAGATTCAAATCCTCTCAAACATTTCCCCGCCTGTCGGTTTGCTTTCATCCGTCCCAAAGGAAAAACCCCTCTCCTCTGGCTGTTTGAAAACAACTTCCTGACAATGGCCGGGTAGACATACGTAAGGAAATAAAGCACTGGTATCTTCACTGACTGTGCAATGACCTCCAGCAACAATGTAGAGACGAGAGAAAACCTAGACGATAAGCACAAAAACGAGGACAAATTGTGTTCCTTTAAAACCGAAATGTGCAAAAGCTTGATTACTCCAGAGTTGTAAAAATGTAGCCGCTGGTGACTTTGAAGCGGTGACGTTCTTCTAGTTACCTCGGTGTGATTAGATTTACGTCATGGTTCTATGCTGCTTTGACAGCCTCAACACAAATAACCTCATAACACCGTGCTTTCTCCAGTCCGTGCTAATTCAGAGTCCCTAAGCTGCCGGCATATTTCATTCTGAGCACAGGTTTTTGCAAACCACATGTTTTCATCTCGGGCTGAAAAAAGAAAATGTCCGTGCCTCTCTCTCTCTCCCTCTCCCTCTCTCTCCATCTCCTGAACTGAGGACACGGAGTGTATGAGATACCATCCTTTTCATTTCCGCTCTCCCAGATAAAAAGATGAGACGGGGGAGAGTACGAAAGTGAGGCCTATCGCTGGGCAGCAGTGATTGAGTCCCTTCCCTAAGCCACAGCGAGGATCTGCCCAAATAACCCACTCTGCCGATAAGAAGCCAGTCATTTCCATAGACAAAAAAACATCGGGGTTCAGATTAGATTGCACCCTCCGCCCGGCTTATCTCAGTGTTGCTCCATCATAGACTGAGAATTATAAGGCCAACTCCTGTCCCCCCGTCTTTTTTTAACGAGAAACACCCCTGAAATATATCCACTTGAAATGGAGCGGTGTTGTTGTTGTTGTTGTTGGCAGTAGCGGCGCAGGTTTCAATTTGATTCGATGCCCACATTAACTGCCACTTTTTAAGAAATGTGTTTGGAATGAGTCCAGGTGCAATGCATTTCCTGTTCCAGGGAGATGCTTTTATTGCTCGCAAGGTCTGCATTGCTCTCTTTTCTGACCTCGAAGAAGAAGAGGACATTTCTGTTAAGTAATAAGAAATGCAAAACAATTTAAAACCAATCAGAAAATAACCGTGAAATAGTTCGACCCGAAAATGTTTCTTTTCTCCAAAACACCTCGAGGTCACTGTTCATTCAAGCCGATCTTTAGCTTTCCCTATTCAGTCACATTTCAAGACAACATGACCCCTTCAGGTAGATGTTCAATTCCTGTGAACCTTTATGGTGTTGGACTTGTCTTTGTACCTTTACAGCCCTTTTTGTTCAGTCAGTATTTTTGCTGTACGGGTTATTAGTTTATGTATTTGTGGCTACTGAACAGCTTGCATTTGTAAATGTGAATATTTGTGGCACATGGAAGCTCATCGTGTGTTTTAGGTGAGGACAGGCCGGTTGTTACAGTATGGAGGTTTGATGCAGTGCAGGCTATGATAACGCATCAGATTTATTTTACTGTGCTACTGTTATTACTTTAACTGTTTTGTTTTGTCCGTCTTTCGCTCTGCTGGTGATTTATTATATGCAAAACAACCACACAGCAGCTTGTGAAAAAGGTTGATGAATGATAAACAAATTTTATCAAGCAATCTTAAGCTCGGCCTCTCGTGCTGCATGAGACGTGTCGGCTGCTGTATGGCAGCTTATGACGCTTATATTCTCAAGGAGTGAAACGTTTTAGAAGTTTTATTTTTCAGACTTGGTTACAATGCTGCAGGTCTCTCTCACTCTCTCACTCACTCTCTCACTCACTCACTCACTCACTCACTCTCTCACTCACACTCACACTCACACACACCACTTTAAATGAACACAAAAGTCCTCCGTTTTGTGTCCATCGGCCTCCTCAAAGCCGCAAGCCGGGACTTCAGATGTCCGCTCTTCCGTACTCCGGTCTAGTGTTGGACGCTCGGTGTCAACGTAGCAAAAGATATGCGTTATTAAAATGGAAACCGAGTAGTGTGGATGCAGCAAGACTGGTAACAGATTTTGAACTTTTCACACAGATACAAGGGACCGGGTCTAATTACTGACACCTTTTGCGCAGTAGCTGCGGCGGCTAATGGCGTTTTTTGTTTTTTTTCATTCCACACTTTCATATCACATTTCGTCCCAGCAACCGAGGCCGTCACGAATGCAACGGTCGTCACCGTGGTTTCTCTTTCAAAAGCAAACATTGTTAATGAGCGAGTTCCTCTCTCATGCAGCCGAATTAGGAGCTAATTGAGTCTTTTAAAAAACATTTTTATATGACATTTACTCGCCCTCCCTTGTCTCGCCAAATTACAGCTGGCCTTAGTTACAGTAAATAACGTGAGTGATTTGTTGCAGCCGACCCAAACGGTGTACATCGAATTTCTTCTGCCGTGGTGTGTTGTTCCATTGTCTGCAGTTGCGGGTTTGAATTGTGAAAGAACAAATCTGTTTTCCTTTTTTGCGGTACTGGCAAAAGCATGCTTCGGATATCTAGAGTACAGGAGATTTAGCAGAGCATTTTTTGGAGATTGGGGGCTTTTGCTGTGGAGACTGATGTGCTGTTAGGGGTAAAATGTGTGAGCATTAAATGGACCCCTGCTGGTCTCCTTGTTGCCCCCCCCAAACCTTATAAAGAGGCCTAAACAAATCCGACATCAAGAGCATTTGGGGGGACTCTCCATCTATCCTCCCCCCATGCTCTCCTTGTCTTTTTTTAAGCAAACACAACTGTGGTGAATGTTTCATGGGGTACATTGCCTCAGTTTCACCGTGTCGAGCAGGGAGAGTGGCACGCGATGACGACCGACAGGCCCACATGCCGGCGGTCCCCGAGGAGACGGCATTTCTTTCCGCCTACTCCTGTTTTTTTTCCTCTCTCTCTCCTGTTTTCCTTCTGTCGCAGACAACAGCTCTTTCGGGCAAGAGTCTGTCGGCTGACTATTTAGCTGTTACTTAAAATTTTGAGTATGACTACAGAACTTCTGCCGATCCATCTGATACCGTTGCAAAACGCCAACATATGGCCGCAAATCTGTTTTTGCACAGACTGCAACTATTATCACACTTAATGATCTGATTACATGCTTTCAAGATCTTACAGGAACTTTTTTTGTGCTTCTCTTGCCAACTTCGATGTTTAAATCATCGAGTGAATTACTGACTTATGAGTTTGTTTTTTCCTTATTCATGACAGAGAATGGTTCTATCTACCTTGACCTTTTTAAAGCTGACCGAAGCCTTCTCCTTCACTCAGCTGCACGTTCTAGAAATATGCTGCATCAACCGTAAAATAATCACATTTTGCCGTTTGTTTCAGCGCTACACATACTCCAGCTTCTCGATATCGTATTTCTCAAGTGTGAGCTTCGACGATTGCCTTTACTGCCATTTGAACGCACACTTCATTTCCCTCACCAACATTCAATTTCATGGAGGGATGAGAAAACGCTGCCTTTTCCTGTGCTACTTCCGAAAGGTTTGACAACACTACAGTATGCTCACTTTGCCGCTCTCCCCCCCCCCCC